GGCGGCGCTGGCGGCGTTGCGGGACGGCGCCGTGCGGAGGGTGCGGTGCGTTCAGACGGGGCCCGGGGCCGGCGCCGGGGACTGCGTGACGGTGCGGGAGGAGGTGGTGGCCCACCGGAGCCGGCCGCATCTCTACCTGCAGCGCATCCGCATCGCCAACCCCACCGAGCGGGTGGCCGCCTTCGAGGCCTCGGCCCCGGCTTCTGCGCCCTCGCTGGGCGGCCGCTTCGCCACCAGCCTGGAGAAGGTGGAGGAGCGGCAGTTCCTGCTCTCCTCCGGTCGCCTGCTGCTGGCCGGGAGCCCCAAGGTGGTGCTTATGGTGGTGGCTGCCAAGAAGCTCGTGAGCCGGGTGCAGGTGGCGCCCAAATCCCACTTTGACGAAACCGTGCTCTCTGTGGTGTACACCTCGGAGCCCATCGAGGTCTCCAGGCTGGAGGAGACCTTCAGCAAGCTGAGGGAGTCGGCCAAGAAGGAGATGCTGGAGGTGATGCAGATGGGGGTGGAAGATCTTTTCCAGGAGCACCAACAGACGTGGTCTGACCTGTTCATTTCGGGTAAGGAGAGCGATGCTCAACTTCCGAAGGGTTGCTTTAGAGGGCAGCTGAAAGCTCGGTGACCTGGTCACTTGCTGTAAGGTCTCCAGGGGCTCCACTCTTCCTGACGGGTTTCTCTCAGGGGCCAGAAGGCACGTTATGGGATAATAAAACAGCGTTCCTGGTTTGGAACCCAGCGTACTTTACAAAAATGGACTATTCCTTACTGCATAAAGGAAATGGTAGAAGAACATTTCTAATCATAACTGGATGTGCTGGCTTTCATGTCTTCAGGAACTTTGCTGATTTGCCCAGCATGTCAGCTCTAAGTTGGAAATAGAGTTGACCTCTAGTGACAGTATAAAGGACAGATTTCTTCATGGAAGTTAAGGACTGTCCTACAAGGATGCTTTTTCTTAAGATTTTAATGGCCTTGCATAAAAGAGCAGCTGCCCAAGTAAGGTAGAACTTGCTACTTTATAGCCAGTAAAAAGATAAATGTTCCTTTGACAGATCATTCTTGCGGAGTCATGGTGACAGCTCCATAAGGCATCCACGTGTTAAACGAGCTTTGCTTTTAGCAGGAGCTTGGCTTTCAAACTTCAAGTAGCAAAGACAGTGTCTAAGAAAATGCAAGGAAGCGTTTGCACTTCAGTGTTTTATAGGCAGAGGTTTCTTAGATGTTACAAAGAATGCCTGTGTATTCAACCACGGCATGCGCATGTGATCTTCTTTTTCTCCTAGTTAGCATCATATTCGTGTGTGATCCTCTGACTCTTGGTTGTTTTCTTTTATTACAGGGGTTGAAATGAGAAAGATCACAGATTCGCATACACCATCCAGTGAGACTGTTAACATGACCCTCTACTATGTCCTGTCAAGCATGCCAGCTCCTCTGCTAGATCCACTCATTAGTGGCGAGGACAGAGAAAAAATGGAAGCCAGCTTGAACTATGCTGACCACTGCTTCAGTGGCCACGCGACCATGCATGCAGAGAACCTGTGGCCAGCAAAGCTGACCAGTGTCACCCAGATCTTGCAACTGTCAGACCTGTGGAAGCTAACTCTCCAGAAACGGGGATGCAAGGGTCTTGTGGCAGCTGGAGTCCATGGACTTATGCAGGGAATGGTGCTTAGTTTTGGGGGTCTGCAGTTCACAGAAAACCATCTTCAGTTTCAGGCTGACCCTGATGTACTTCATAACAGCTATTCCTTACGTGGGATCCATTACAATAAGGACTTGATTAATCTAGCTGTTCTGCTGGATGCTGAAGGAAAGCCCTTCCTGCATGTGTCTGTGAAGTTCCAAGACAAGCCAGTTAGACTATATGCCTGTGAGGCAGGCTGTATGAATGAGCCTGTGGAGCTGACCTCAGAGGCACGAGGTCATACATTCCCCGTCATGGTGACTCAACCCATCACGCCACTGCTTTATATATCAACAGATTTGATCCACTTGCAGGACCTGAGACACACGCTCCATCTAAAAGCTATTCTGGCTCATGAGGAGCACATGGCCAAGCAATACCCAGGCTTACCCTTCCTGTTCTGGTTCAGCGTGGCCTCCTTAATCACATTGTTTCACTTGTTTCTGTTCAAACTCATCTACAATGAATATTGCGGGCCAGGAGCCAAGCCGCTCTTCAGGAGTAAGGTATAAGGCTGCTGCTTTTGGCTGCTGTCCACTGAGTGTTGTCAACCTGATTTTCTGTCAGCTGTGCCTAGGGAGGTTCTGTCTTGGACTGTGAGGATTTTCAGTCTCTCTTGCAATAAGTGATCTGTGACCTCTTCTTGCAAGAAGTAGGATTAGGGCAGGGGTTGGAGCAGTAGGGCTCACAAACATTAGAAAAGGTAAATCCAACATCTGTCCTTCTTAAACGTTTGTGAGGCTGCAGATCAAGGCGGGCACAGTCCTTTTTCCACACATTGGTGTAGGACATTGCTTGTTTTTAAGCCAACAATTCCAGCTGTGTAACGAGATGATGTTTCTTGTTACGCAGTATCAGAATGCTTGTGAATGAGCTGCTATACTTGCCTTTACTACCGTGTGGGAGACGTGCACACTTGTCTGCCTGGTTTGAACATGTGATGTGTCATACAAGAACACACAAATGCAAGCTGGTGTTCTTAAGTGAAGGTGCTGACTTGTTCGGACTACTCCTAAGTGTTCACAGATTTATAGATGCTGTGCAGTCCTCCATCAAACCACATCTACCACCATCATTTTGGGAAGGTGCTGAGTTAGCGTTTCTCCCATTCAGACAAAATACATAGCTGTGTTAAGAAGAGTACCGAGTGCTTTTTACTGTGAGTTGGAGGTTCTGACTTCAAGCTCTACTGCATCTCACTTTGGTGTAAAGAATTTGAAAGTCTTGTTTTGAGTTGCCTTAGAAAACTTAGTTGCTAGTAAAAACTTAGCACAGAATAGAAAATAGACAGTGATTTCTGCTCTTAGTACTGGTACTTTCTGTTTGTGTGTTGATACAGAGTGGAAATGAAAGATGTGTGAGCTAGCCATATTCTTCAGAGGCATCCCTCCTTAGGGTTGAACAGAGTTAAATGTAGCTTGCATTTAAAAAAAAAAAAAAAAAGCGGGGGGGGATAAAAAGGGACATAGTTAAATAGCGCTGTTGGAGGAAAAGTTCTAGGTTTAGATTGCCCTGTTTTTCCAAATTATAAAAGTAAGTTCAATTTTAGATAGCTAAGGCTGGGCCGAAGGTACTGGACTAAACTTGACAGTCAGTATGTAAGGGGTGTTTAAAGCGATTTGGCAATTTGTAACGTTGAGCACTGGAAATCAGGCCTGATCCCAAGCAGGTCTGAATACCTGTTGTCCATGGAAAGAATGAGAATGCAAGGTACTTGTGCCTCGACAAACTAACCTAGGAAGAGGTAGGATAGATATGTGTATCAAAGACAACTGCAGTTATAAGCCTATGATCATGCTCAAAACCTTAGTGCAGAAGGAAGAAGTGGTCAGGAAGTAATTTCAATTACTGTGTATACAGCTGTGCCCTGACATGCATCCTGAAATCTGTCCTTAAGATTATAAAATTATGTCCTTTTTTCACTGCTGTCTATCTGGTTGCCTTTTTCATCTACAAGACTTGCCTTCTGCCTTTTACAAAATGACTTATTAACCATTACTACAGGTAACTGTCCCTGACACTAGTCTCTGAAATGCCGCGAAGCTTCACAGCTACACACCAGGGCTGATGTAACACCTCTTCCTTCTTGACACTGCAAAAAGCCTTGCAGTGTAGAGCAAACAAGTCTGTTGCCTCGTCTTAATTGGACCTACTTAAAATGAAGATGATGCAGAACTTGATTCCAGAAACAGGGATGAAGTGGAAGCCAGCTGAAGCTCAAAATCTCTGTAGCAGTAAGCAAGATGAATGGCGTTGAAATAACACCCTGTTTCATTAATTGAATGGGAACATCCCAGTGTCCAAGTGAGCTTAGTCCTGCTTTCAGCCTCCATTTGCACAAGACATCTGACAATTTTGCAGCTGAGAACAAGGACCTTTTGAAAGCAACAATCCTTTTGTGCCTTGTTAAGAGAGGAATGAGACTTGGAAGGTGTGGTTATTCAAGAGTTTATCCCAGAAGCTTGTGTAACAGATGTTTCTTTTTCCTTGTAAGCTGTTCAGTTCCCTAAGAGTAATCCATTTGGTGAAAATACTTGAAGATAGACTAAGTCCTTTGATATTTTGATTTTTTTTTTTTTTTTTAATTTTACAGGAAAATAAAGTATGGTGATTCCCTTCAGAGAGTTAACTTAACTAGAAAACTTTAGTGTAACTTCCTTTCTGGTATACATTTTTTAATTTATTGCTTGGGGGGAGGGGGAGGATGTTGATAATTTTGCCTCCACTTCAGTTACAAGGCAGTCAATTGAACTGTAGATCTAAGTGCTGGTAACAGGTTTTTCAGCCTTTATTATTGTAGAGTGCAAAACCAATTTAATGAAATTGTTTTCCGGATTTACACTTGGAAATGCTGATGTGCAGGTTTCCTAGTCTAAGCAGATTGAGACTTTGTGCATTGATTTGTTTTGGCTATGGGGGGAGATATCCCACTTTCTAGTGATTTAAAGGTCATTTGGTTTTAAAATACCAAAGCTGTTGTTTCTAAATAAATATCTTTCAGTCTAATCTGATCACTAAAGTCTGGTTGATGGTTTTTGGTTTGTTTTTTTTTTTTTTGTTTGGTTGGTTTTTTTGTCCCTGTTCTCTCCTCCCCTTGCTCCCCACCCAGTTAAAAGAAGCAGAGCCTTATGTTACATCTGTGGCCAGTATTGACTACAAAAGTGCTTGGATTGAAAGGAAATACAATGTAGAAAATAATACATAAATGGATCTAATCTGGGAACAGACAATTTGGAAGGTGCAATAAGAGCCACAAACATACAGGGTGGTGCTAAACTCCATTTCCCTGGCTCTGTGTAACCTTGTTCCATCTTGAGGCATGCAGACTAAGCTTTAGTTTTAAGAACACAGAAACAAATCCAGGGAGCAATCAATTAGCAGATTTAATGGTCATTCAGCAAGTAATGAATTTGGCACATTTGGTGTTCCCAATGAAAAGCTAGAGATTTAACTTTGATTTTTTAAATAGGTTACTGTCTAGTTTCAGATGAAAAACCTTCCTCAGAAAAGTAGATTTCAGTGTCTGTTACTTAGCTGCAGACCATTCCACTTGCTAATTGGTCTAGCACAGTTACTACCCTACAAGGGAATAAACTAAAGGTAGGGAGGCAATGGACTACATTATAAATTGGACACTAAGTACATCGTGTATTGAGAGATTAGCTATTATGCTTTAACAAAACATACCAGAAGTTCCTGCTCTTTCTTACTGAAGTTCCATGAGCTGCTTAGTTTCTGTGAAACATCTGGCATGAAGATGATAAGAGGTTCCAGGGTGCTGTTTCCAAGCCACCATGGTATCAGCTGGAGGCTGAGCCTTTTGATGTTCACTTGCAGAACTGCCAACAGCATGATGCCCACTGAGTCCAAGAAAGACTATTTAGACCAGACCTGGAAAAGATGGATAAGCAATTGTTACATAAAGCAGGACTGGAACAAAAAAACAAACAAACAAACAAAAAACAAACAACCAAAGCTTTGAGAGTGTTTTACATTAAAAATGTTACAATTCTTATGAGCGTTCCCCCCATATAATAAAAGAACTGTTTCAAAATTCCTTTACCAAGAAGAAAGGGAAAATGAAAGAACAGAGTTTCTCTTTTTAGTGTGCAGGATAGCAGAAGGTCATATTTGTGAAATTGCAGAAATGCTTAAAAAACTAAACAAAATTCCATGTTTACGAGCACACCCATAAAACAGGAAAGTTGAAATAGTAACTGAACATCTAAAATTTTTGCTTAATTTTTAGTTGGTATTCAATGAAAATGATAGTGGCATGGAAGTTAACCTGAAAAGCATAGTATGTTGTTTAACTTGTAAATTCAGATATTAAGAAGAGAGCCAACTAATTAATGAAAAAAATTTTTAAAATCTCAATTCTGCACTCAGTTAATGCTGATTTATGCTTTTGTCAGATAATAAATACAAGATGCCAGAACAGAGTTTGGTTTATTCCATTTGAAATTCAGAATGCAGCTTTCTCAAGTGCTATTGTTTGGGTAGGATAATACATTCTTGAGAAGCAGACAAAACAACAAAGCATTATATATTTCTGCTTTCCACATGTGCGCTCCAGGCGTCTTTCATCCAAATCGGTACCTACTGCTGAATGGAAGCTATGAAAAATCAGGGATTTTGCTGCTTGTTAATACTGACATTAAACAATAGATTTATTTCAGCTTTTTTGAAACCTCTAGTTTGGTCTGTATGTACAATGCAACTCTGGTTACAAAACTGGCATTATGATATTTGTTTCCATGCTATTAAGTTTGCTCCCTATGCATGACCTGGCTTATGCAATAGAGAACTTTGTTTTTTAAATAACCAGTAACAGTTTTTCAGGTGAAGCATAGGCAGATGGAAACATGACAGGGGATGGAAAATTCCAGTAGTAGAAGAAAAAAACCAAAAGAGACACAAGGGTAAGTATTGATATCAACTCATCGATCTCAAATGTCTGGTAATAAATTAGGACAGTTTCTTTTGTGGCAGCAGCTCTGTAGTGGTCTAAATGCCAGCTCTTGCCTGGTTTGTCCTATTAGTGAAAACGGTTTACCGTTTTTCATTAACAAACACACTACATTATACCACAGGTCAGCATGCTGATTTGGGGTGTAAAAATGCTAATTTGCAATGCTACAGGAACCCTATTCTCTTCCAGGGATGTGCTACTGATCTAACAATTAAAGGTAAATAGGAAAGAAATTAAATCTGGCTCACTGCACTACACCAGTGTTTCTCCATCATCGCAGACAGCTGGTTCTTTCTGTTGCTTGAAACATCTTCCACTTCAAAGTGATTACAGTTTGTTTTATTGAAGAAAGATGGCATGCTAAAACACATGCAACTTGATCTAGAAAAGAAGATACAGGTTTTCAGTCAGTACAAAGTGGTAGTTGCCATTCAGTCACAAAACAAACCAGAACGAAATAAAATTTCAAGCAATCATAGAATCATACAATAATTAAAGCTGGGAGGGGGCTTCCGGAGATTGTCTAATGCAACCCCACTGACATGTCTGAATCTATCACTGCCTGAGTATATCAGACACTGTTACTGCTGACATACCACCAAGCGTTAGAATAATTCATTTAACATTTTCCTTCCGAAAACACCTTTGTGATGAACTTTCAAGGCAGTGGGAAAGCAAACAGCTGCTACAGATAATATGCAACTCAGTTGGAATTTTTTTTAACCAAGTTGTTTATATAGCCTGGATCCAAGGTTCATTTAAACTGGTTTTTTTTAGGCACTTGTGCATATAAAAAATTATCCCACAATTGCACAAGTTTTCCATTGGTATCAATAGCAATGCATTTTAAGTCACATGTCCCAGAGATAAATGATAACATCTAAAATGGCTTGCAGAACAGAGCCTGCAGCATACAGCTAACCAGCATCATGGTTGGAGTCCTCTTTGCTGTGTTGACTCTGGCAGCTGCAGGTAGGTATCCAATTTCAGCATTAGTTTTAAAGGAAAAATGAATTAAAATCTCACAGCAATTTTCCTTTTTTAGGGAAATCAGACATTCTGCAACAAAGCAGAAAGAGATACAGCATAGGCAGTTAATAAAAAAGTTCTCTCAAAACAGTAACTAAGTTCTGTGCTATTCTGTTCTTATTATAGGGGCTCGATTAGCGTAACTGCTCTCAGCCTTTAGCAATTTCAAAGTTATTTTACTTAGCTTGAATACACTGAAATACAGTTAATCCACATCAAATTGTTGCATTGGCTAAGAGTTGTATCTCAGCTGACACATGAGGATTTGGTTAAGCCAACTTGATTTGATTATCTGTCAGAAAAATGAAACCGCTCAAACAGGCTTTATATAACATTGGTCATTTGACTGATGGCTGATCTTCACTTGTATCACATTAAATCACAGCCCATATTTGTACCTTGAAATGTTGTGTACAAACACAGTCTATATGAAAAAAAAAAACCAAAACCTCCCTTGCAGACTTTTTTTTAAACCTACTTTTAGGTCCTTGGAGTTAGTCCTAACATATGCTTGGTTTTGATGAAAAGAACCTGTAAAAGGCAATTTCCAGAAAGCTGCCAGCAGGAAAGTGGACAATTCTGCAGGGAACAGTCTTCCAGTCCATGGATTTCCCCATTGCTTTGAGGGAGGAGGAATCTTCACTGCTTATGTACTGGCCTCCTTGCCCCCTTGCATTTCTTTTGAATAGGCCAAGTGCTGTATAACTGCTAAGTATTCGTGCTAGTGTGCCTTAATCTATTTGCAAACCTTTCCCTTTCTCTTTCCCACTCTCAAATGTGTGCATTTGACCACAGGTATGACATTGCTTTGATCAAACTCACTGAACACATCACCTTAAGTGACCACATTAAGCTGGCCTGCCTCCATTCTGCACAAAGCATCCTGTCGTCTAACACTGCCTGCTATGTGACAGAATGGGAAAGACTGCAGAGTAAGTACTTGGACATTTGCAAAATTGTGCAACAAAATCTTTCAGTACTGACTTCTCCTTTGAGACCGATTGCAAAAAGGCTGTTGATGGTGCTCAAGATCCCCTCAACCTCAATGTAGTGAGGTAGTTTATCAGGCCCCACTTCAGTCACCCAGTATTTTTCCCTGCCTTTCGAGTTTATTTTGCTTGTAATGGGGCTAGTAATGCACTAGAGGGCCCTGTACTGAGGTTTTAGAAGCTATTGTAACACAAACATTAACTGTGCAGACTGATGAATTTGCTAATCCTAACATACTCCGCTGAATAACTGAAAAGACACATAAGGGAACAGTTGTAAAGAGAATAAAATCTCAGAGACTTCAGCAAAAGTGTCAGCTTGGCTCAAGAGGCAATTCCTAGAGTGATAAGTAAATTGCAAACTCCTGAACAAAGAGCAGCCCTTTATTCCTCTAACAATGGGACATTTTAAGATGGAACGGAAATTGTTAGTCAGTTAAGGCCTTTTTTTTTTTTTTTAATAGAAATACAAAAGAATGGAGCTAAGGAATGGATTATACAGCTTCTCCTTTAATACAGCCCCTGTGGAGTTTCTTACCTGGAAGGATAGTACCCAGGTCCTGGGAGAAACTTAACAATGCAGTTTTGTTCTTTCCTCAGTGCCAGCTGGTACCATGACTCCTTTGTTTCTATTCCCTCCCAGGAAATGGAGCTCTTCCAGATGACCTGCAGCAAGGTCTTTTGCTGGTGGTGGATTATGCAACTTGTTCCAAGCCTAGCTGGTGGAGAAGCACAGTGAAACCCACCATAGCTCGCACGGGTAGGGATGGAGTCACCTGCAGTTGTAATGTGAGTCCAGAGAACACCGCTTTTAGAGCTTGGTTTCAGACACAAACAGGCCTGATGGGAAGGAAAGCTTAAAAAAACCAAACCAAAACAAAACAAGGAGGAGCTATTCACACTATGACGGCCATTAACTGTGTTCCCCCTTCCTTCTAGGGGGACTCTGGTGGCCCAGTGAACTGCCAAAGTGCTGATGGCAGGTGGGAAGTACATGGTACCATCAGCTTTGGCTCTGCTTTTGACTGCAGCTATTATCACAAGCCTTCTGTCTTCACTTGGGTCTCTGGTTATAACAGCTGGATCGAGCAGGTAAGGTTCTAGGTATTGCTGCTAGAGAATAGAGTCACTTAGCTATTTCTGATGTTCTCTCTGATTGAGATTTCTGCCACCTACTCAGGGAGCTGTATCACCTTTGATTCAAATGCTGCTTTACATACAAGTAACTTCTGTAGACAAGCCCCTACCAGTGCAAAAGCAGTCTCTGCAGCAAAAATAAAGTATCCTCCTCTTAAATAATTATCCAAATTATTTTGACTTTTAAATAAATCTCGATATTTAGGAATGCATTCTCCCTTTATACTAGAGCTATACATACAGTCATAAAGATTTTACTGGTATGACTTCAGATTTAATTACTCAAATTTGTATTCATCAATAATACTGACTGTTGCAATCGCATCCTAGAAGGCAGCACATGCTGCTCAAGTCTGGAACATCAATTATTTTTTAATTTAATATAAACTTTAATCTAAAAAGTGACTGTGAAGCAAAAATCTTATTTCAGTTATTTAAATCCTGCATCTTGGATGCAACATATACTATCCACAAATTCCTGGGTCTCACGATCTGATTTTTCACTTGTTTTACATTTTTGTAGGTTATGGCAACCAACTAATCCAAAGAGAACTGGATGACAGATGCTAAGAAGGAAAACAGTTTGAATAAAGTCATAATCATGACACCTTTGATCACAAAGAGCTGGTAAATTATGCCTTTAACAACACAAGTATTATACCTAACCGTACCGCAATAAACACTATTTTTCACAAGATGAAAGAAAAACACGTGTCTCTGTCACTTCTTCCTGGGTATTGTCAAGACCAGAGCCCATATTTAGTGATAATGCTGGAGACCTTTTACAGCCTTTCCCCTGCCTTGGGCTGGGGCTTGCTACCCTCACCTGGGGGAAGATGTGAGCCTGCTGTGAAGAGGCTGGACAGTAGGAAGAGTTAGAGAGCCACAGGAACAACTCCGGGCAACTAGGGGGTGAGAAAGTGAGGCACTGGCAGGGGCTGAAGGCAGCAGGCAGCTGTCGGGACCCGTAAGTCTGCAAGCGGGACTCACCAGAGCAAGCAGTGGCAATGCCCAGCGGGAAGGCAGCACGGGTGCAAGCAGGTCCATGCAGGTGAGTGCGGGAACGCTGCAAAATGCTTTTATAGAGAGGTTTTTAACACCCTGTGATCTTGGGACCTTGCAAGGGGAAGGGTAAAATCCAGCAGCGACTGCCAGCAACACCTCTGCAGACCTATCTCCTTCACGTCCCTGTTGCTCGTTTTTAAGTCATTCAGATGCCAGGTGAAGACCTCTGAACTGTCACTGTCGGCTGACACACAGAAATAGATGGGGATTTTTTGCAAAGTACAAGCAGAATCACCACCTTTTAGCCTGGTACTAAATTAAAGCCCCTATTTATATTTCTTTCATTGTAATAAAAGGTAGTCAGTATAAAATCAAGGTGGATTTTTGTTGTGTTTTTCTTCTCCCTCCTGGCACATATTTAGGTATATTCAAGAGTAAAATGATTGATTAAAAACAGAGGACAAGTGACTCAAAGGTAAGCAGTAGATACAGCAAGGAAAAGATTGGAAGTTCGTTGTGAGAACATAAGTGCATCTGGGTTCAGAAATAAATTTTTCTAGGCTTGTGATTCCTTTCAGTCAGACATTTTGCAGTTGTTACCTTTGGATTGAAAATAAATAAATATATATTTTTTATTAAACATAAATTGTATTAAATAAATAAGAGAAAACATGGCTGTTTATCATCTTTGGGGGCTGTACTTTTGTTTTCTTCTACTTTACAACCATTGACCACCATTCTGCTGCGAAGAGCTCAGCAGGAACTTGTTTTGCCTAATATCAGCCTCTGCTGAGAAATAGCAGATTTTACTGGGTTTTTATTTATCTTGTTAGAAATGTAATTTCACCTATCTGAAAGAGCAGGGGATCTGAGGAGGGCTTTTTTCAATCACCTCTACTAAGCAGAGCAAAAGAAAAAAGGGGAAAAAAAAAAAAAGAAAAAAAAGAAAAAGGACTGGACTGGTCAGCAACACAGTCCCCTGGTTTGTTCTTCATCCATGGAAATAAAGGTTACCCAGTCATTCAGGAGTTGCCAGCTTCATCATAACTTCCTGAGTGGTTTTCATGGGTATTATTAATGTAAGATTGTAAAGGATTGATTAATAGTTCTGAAAATGAAAATTGTTAGAGGTTACTTTGCTGTATGGAGCAAGGATGTCAGTTATGTGCAGCATGAAAGATAAGGACAGAAAAGGTAATCATGAAGCTCAAACAGTAAAAATTGGATATGCATATGCTTCTGTCAAAACTGAAATCTGATTCATTTTCCTTTTGAAATATTTAGACAATATGGTGGAAACGTCTGAGCTCATTTGACCATATCAACACAAATTATTCATCATCTGCAAATTCCTATTAAGAACAAATTCTAAAAGTTTGATTAAAAAAATTCAACAGTTCCGGTCTGTGATCACTGGAGTAAGTAACCCATCTTTTTATGGGCTTCCTTAGGATTTGGATAGAAGTACCATAGAGAATAAAACGTACAGCAAATCATGTTATCGGTCTTAATACTCACAGAAAAACTGTACGATTTCATTCATGTGTTTTTGCAGCTCTGGGTGAGTCATGGAAACAGTCTCCTTACTACACCTTTTCTTTTAAAATAAAAGGTCAGGTGGAACAAAATAGAATAAAATATGTCTTTCAATAACATTCACCTAATGGATGTTCCCTGTACTTTGTTTCTAAATGCATGTGAATTGTTAAATATCACTAATAGCTCCAGTTATGTTTTCAGGAGCTGCGAGAAACACCCCAGGGAAACCCTTATTTATTTATTTGTTTGGTTTTTTAGGTGTTCTCCCCCCTCCAACGGTGGTGGTAGAAAAACAGTTCAAAGGATTTTGACAGCATGCATGGTCTCCCTCTGCAGCCTCCTTGGAGCCATTTCTTTTGATTTGAGCAACAGCTTGGAAATATGGAGAAACACAGGGAAAGCCCTTCAGGAACTTACCTCCTGTGAAAACCTTTGGGCTGTTCGCCTCATCTATCTCCTGCAGGAAGAAAGGCACAGCTGGCTGTTCCCAGCAGCCGACAAGAGGAATAGATCGTTTCATGCTCAGCTATTGGGGAATTTAAACTCCCTCTGTAAGGCAAGTGAAGCAGAACTGTATTGTGAGAATTGCCAATGCAAGAAGGAGAAAGTCTCCATTTGCAGATTTTACATCCTTGACATGAGACAAAAATTAAATAGCACAGGGGATACTGAAGCCAGGCAGGTGCTATCCAGAGTGATCTCTGAACTGCTGGAGCGTTTCAGTAGTCCCCAGGAAGACCTCAAAACTATGAGATACAACCCTGACTGGGCAGACATAGTAGCTTTTAAAGTCATCCTTCAAATAAGAGAAGCCATGCTTAAAGCTCATTGGATGCCAGCATCTACAAGCTTTCAAACAATATTGCATCAATTTTTTGCCATTCTGAACTATGCTATCTTCTCATCAGAGATTGTACATAAGTGCTGGATGGATAATGTTAATCTGTCACTTCATTTCACCCACTATGAAGGAATCTCTTTTTTCATCCCATTCCTGGGTTCAGATGAAATTGTGTCCATTGAAGCCTTGGTAAAGGGACTGCATTATGCACAGAGGTGCCTACTGCAGAAGGGACAGGAAAAACTCATCAAGAAATCTACAGAAATCCTGTCCACAATGAGCCTTAAGATCAGTCTGTTAGTGATAGCCTGCCTCATTTACCCCATAATCCTGATGTCCTTCAAGCAAATGACAGATTGGATACACAATTATGCCAGGAACCTCAAAAAAAAGACAGAAGACTTGAAAAGGGAGAGGCGGCTAGCTGAGGACCTCTTACACCAGATGTTGCCAAAATCTGTGGCCAAGCAGCTAAGGAAATGCCAAAAAGTTGAGGCAGAAAATTATGATCAGGTTAGCAAATGGAAAGGATGCTGTCACCAAGGATAAAGCATTCACCTGAAAAAGCACCTACCTTGCCACCGGTTTGAGGAACCTGGTTTTGCACCCATAGTTGAGTGTGGATGGAAATCCAAATATTCATGATGGGTTTTGGAAAGAGCTGTGCAACCTGCCATGAAGCACTTAGGCTGACGGGGAAGGAAGAAAAGCTGAAATTTCCAGAAGTGTAGCTTTAGATGTCAAAGATCCTATATTGGCAAGTTGTCTTCTTTAGGTTTAAGAGCCTACTCATGAAAGCCAGCCAACATCATGAGATCACGAGTACATAGGAGCAAGAAATTAGTTTCCTCCTTGAAAAATGGGAAGAATCCCCAAAAACCAATGTAGGACAAACCCTGTCTGTACTTGTCAGTATGATTCCATAAACATAACTGAAAAGAGAGCATGGGACTTAGAGAAGGACGAGGGGGACAGATGATCTCGTAGCCTCAAGTGTGTAGCTATAACGAAACTGGCCCACATAAAAACAAGGGCAGGGTTTGGCCAGGCACCCATTTATTTACAGCTCTGCCTCACAGCATGCATGCTGCTGTCAATGCTGAATTTAGCAGCTGTGCTGCATAGCCCATAGCTAAAATCCTCATGCTACAGTAATTGCAATTCTATTCACTCTTTTTCCCCTGGATGCTCTGTTACTTTCAGCTGTGAAACACAATAATACATGTTTGCATTTAATTTGTAGGTGTCATTATCGAAACAGCAACCTGTAATCGCACAATTAATTACAATTCACAATAGCCATGACATCAAAAGTAGCTGAACCAAAGCAGGGAGTGAAAAGGTGGCTCTTCTGGATTAATTGGTATTACCAAGGACAAATAAAAGAACAATTTTAGTTTAAACACTCATACAGTTCAGGCAGCACAGAGAAGAAACACTTAATTCTTTGCCAACAGCTATAACTCACATTTCCCTTCCTCAATTCAGTTATTATGGTTTCTGTTGTTCTTTCTTTTATAAATTTGATTTTTTTAAAAAGTTAATATCTCTCTACATTACTTAATCATAATAAAGATAAACATCATTTGAAGAGAAACAAAATCCAGTTAGTATTTCCTAATTCAACAAGAGCAGAGACAGCAGTTGAGTTTTTATTTTGCAGTTTGTTCAGATACCTAGTTTTGATCTCTACCACAGTTTAAAATCACTTTAAAAGAAAAATCAGGCCCTGCTTCTGTAAGAAGTCTGTTGATCACTGCTCACAAGATTCAAAGCATTTGACTTCCAGTCTCCCAGCTAGCACAAAGTATTCAGAGAAGTGCAGATGATAAACTTTGGAGATAAGCACGATTTTAGCTGTCAGAGTAATAGAGAACAATTCAGAGCCAAAGCCTGCTAATGTAGGATTGTATCTATTCAGTTCTGCAACACTGGTTCTATATGCAGCTTGTGCCTTAGGCTGTTCTGCTCAGAATTTCACAAATCTCCAAACTCTTCAAAGGCTCTGCCATTGTTGCCTGGAGACCCTAGCTTCACACTTTCCTTCTCCCTGTGACAGGTGACTATCTTTTTCTCGGACATTGTGGGGTTCACAAGCATTGCTGCCTCCTGTACTCCCTTGCAAGTTGTTGAGATGCTCAACAATCTGTACATCT